ACTACCAGGGATCCTTAATGACGTCCTAACTAACCTACTCACAGCCATTGAGTCTCAAGGTTACTTGTAGTAAACTTATGTAGGGTTTCCGAAACTGGACTGCAAGGTAAGTTTTAAAACTGCAAAGTCGGTAATTCGAGTTTGCCAGTGCTCCTCGGAAACCCCATACAGGGTCACTATGAGTCGGAAACAACTCTATGGTACTTAACAACATATAAGTGAAAGAGCAAAAAGTGGGAGAGTACTCAGTAAGATGATTCTGAAGAGCTGCTTAAAATTTAGAAGTCAATCCTGGTCAAGGCTATTCGCTTAAGAAAAGAATAATTGGGTCACAGTTCTGGGGAATCCAAATAGAAACTGCAATACTAAGACCACCTAAGCCTATGAATATTATTCACCCCTCTCAGTAATAGATGCTTTAAATGTGCCCATTCATTCAAGCCCTAAGGGTGGATAATTTTTTTCTTCCCAGCGCCCAAATTCCAGGCATGTAGTGCATGGTAATTGTGCCATCTCCTTCTGCCTTATACAGGGACACATTAGACTTGAACTATATAAGGGTAAGTCAGAAGCATTGCTATTAGGATTCCAGTTCACACATGTACAGGTTTATTGCAAACAAAACATGTTCAAACATGTTTCTGCGATCAGTGGATGGCTGCAGACAAGTTGTCTAAATTTCGCTAAGGTGTCTTCAAAAAGAGATCCGATCAAGTAGCTTCTGAGTGGATCTGCTGGGCCATCAAATTCAAGGCAGAGAGGTCAACTCAGAAGGTTATGATCACTCTTTTTGGTCATTTCCAAGAGACAATCTTGATAGATTTTCTGGAAGGACATAAGATGATACCAGGGGCTTAGTAGGAAGAAGTTTTTAGAAAATGGAAAACTGCATTAGTGAGAAAAAGTCCAAGTGAATTTGCACTTAGTAATTTTTTTCCATCACAATAATGCACCTGATTTCTTTGAAGGCAGCAAGGGCTGTCCTAGGAGAATTTCACTGGTAAACCCTACCCCATCCACCCTATAGACTGATCTTGCCCCTTCAGACTTCTTTTTGTGCCACAAATTCATGATATCAAAACTGCTGTTTTGACACAGTATAAATGAAAAAGTGCAGAATTCTTTGAGGAGGAATGAGAAAGGTGGAAACACTACCTTCAGAAATGTATACACCTAGATGAAGAATATGTTAAGAAATTATAACTTCACAGTATGTTTTTATTTAATAAATGTTATGATTTTATAGCAATACTTTCTGACTTACCCTTATACACTACTGAAAGCATCATGGCTCCACAGGATAAGCACTGGACTGCAATCTACAGGTCAGCAGTTCAAGCCCACCAGCCACTTATTGGGAGAAAGCGGAGGCATTCTGTGCTGGGGAAGATTTACAGCCTCAGAAACCCTATATAGTGTCTCTATGAGTTGGAACCAATTCGGTGGCACACAACCACCACCACCACGAGGTGGAACCAACTTGAAGGCACTTAACAACAGCAACAATAACAAACACAACTACCTTGATATGTCGGTGTACTTATTTACTATGGGAGTCCACTTTAAGAGCCTCAAGGATAATTTTGTTAAGTGTGCTTGCTGGAGAGTGAGAGCAGTCCTATCCCTTACACCAAAAGTTGGCATTTGCAAAAGCTGCTGTACCTCATTCAACATCTGCTTCAAACCTGAGACCCTGATATTCATGAAGGTCATCAACACTTGAAGTCCAGTTTTGTTAGTCCTAGTCTGGCACAAAACTGAACACTCAACACTAGCCATATCTGGTCTAGAAATACAAGTAATTCCTGCCAGATACTGGTCCTGTATGTATTTTGAGGAATCCATTTCATGATGTTTATGATTTGTGGGATTAAGATTTAAGAAAATGCTGTAAAAATGCTGAACAGTAATACCAGGGGGTTATGCAGTCCTTACAACAACCAGCTATAAGAGCAGCATTTGCCTAAAGATAAAACTCAGAATGCAGGAAGGGATAGGAATGGCTGACTCCACACAGTAAACACAGGGAGAAAGTGGAGAGTGTGCTATTACATTCTGGGGATTGCAATCAATATACCGAATCATTTGTTATTATTGTTGTTAAGTGCTGCTGAGTCGGTTCTGACTCATAGTGACCCTGTCTAGGTTTCCAAGGAGTGGCTGGTGGATTTTAAGTGACAACCTTGGGATTCAAACCGACCTTGGGGTCCAGGGCATTATCCTGCAGTGCCACAACAGGACTACTTAGTATTTATGAATTGTTTAGAGGAAACCCAATTTGCTATGGACACTTCCACTCAATTCACAATAAAATGAAAATATTAACAAATAAAAATTTTTTTTTTAATAAGTAAAGAAAATGCTGTAAGATTTTTCCTTGGCTGGAATGTCTTATTAATCAAATAAGTTCCTTAAAGTCATTAAAGGGGTTGATAGAGAAATCATGATTTGGATTAATATTTTTGTTTAGCATTATGGTCCCCAAAGTTTCGTTCACAAGATGAGACGAATAATACACACACACACACACCAAGAAGTTATAAAAATGTTCATTCTTTATTTCACAGCAGTCTGTGGTACAAACTGGCTTGAGAGTGAATAAGTGCGGAAAGCACTCCTGCCAGGCTTGTTTATTAGGATGGTTAGGGAGTGGGGTCCAGAGGAGGGCCTGTGAAAGGGTTTACAGCTCCCTCTGTCACCCAAGGAGGGAGCAACTCAGGCTTTCTTATTAGTTTGCCAGGACATGAGGCACAAAGGGAAGAGGGATGGAAGAAACCTAAATGTGGTCAGACTCCTTCTTAATTATACTCACTCAGGTAGCCAGGTAGCCATTTGGAATCCTGGTGGGATAATGTACTAGATCCCAAGGTTGGCTTAAATGCAAGGTCAGCAGTTCGAACTCACCAGTTGCTCCTCTGAAACCCTACGCAGGGTTGTTATGAGTCAGGACAGACTAGATGGCACTTAACAATAACAAAGGTAGTTATTTATCAGTTCCACGAACCTGAGTGCTAGATGATGCCTCACCTGCATCTAGAACTTAGCTCTGCTGTTTGAATAATTTTGGTTTCAAGTTTCCTTAGTTTTTATGGAGAATAGTTAGATAAGCTAGGTACATTTGATTTTCTTGCTTTGAAAGACTTGTAGGCTCAGCTTCATCTCCCTGTATGAAATGCCTATGCCACCCCTCCCCACTCCAACCCTGAGTACCAAGGGCTTGATTGCAGTCACACTAGAAAGTCCCTTAGTCCAGTCTCCCACAGACATTGGATTCCTAAGAGCAGGGACTTTTCCTGTGTCCTTTGAGTGATCACAAAGAGATAATTTCTCTAAAGTTGTGGAAAACAGTTCTTTGTAAGAAGTATTATTTTCTAACTCCTGTCCAATCTGCCACAGGATTTTCTGACATTTAAAAATAAAGTCACCAGAGATCTTAAGTAAAATCAGTCCCTGAAATCATTCTGTTCCTCCAGCCATAATCTATAATGGACTGATAATCAGATTTCTATTGTGAAACAAGTAGAAATTAAAATTAGTTTTTACTCTTTTGTTGAAAGAAATATTTAACGTATCACTACATTGTTGTTGTTGTTATTAAGTGCTTTTGAGTTGTTAGTACAGCTTTAACAATGAATACAATTTAGAGAGAAAATTCAAAGACAACAGTAAATTCTTAACATTTAAAAATTTTACTCATGATATTGAAAACATATTGGTATATAATAATTATTCATTTCTAAGGAGTTAACAGTTAATGTAAAACATAAGAGCTAACCTTAGCCCCGGTCATTTTTAAAAATCATATTTCGCTATGGTCACAAGATCTCATTCACCATCTTATAAGTCCTCCAAGCATTGACTTTATAACAACAAAAATAGAATAATGGAGTTTTTCGCTTAGTGAATACCCAAGACATTTATTTCCATTGAAAAACTGGACTTGGCTTTAGTGTCACTAAGTACAGATATTATATCATCAGAACCAAAAATTGTAACAGAAATCTCACGTGTCTATTCTTAGGAAATTAACAACTATAAAGTAAGAGAAGATTTAATGAAACTAGAAAGCACATTCACACAAACCACTGTGGTTCAGTTTAGAGTTCAAATAATTTACTCCAGAAGAGAAAACGTGAGGAAACAACACATGGCTTCCCTGTACTGAAAGGGGTATGAGGGAGCTAGAATTGTAGCTGCCCAGTTAACGAGTGGGCCTGCAAATCATTACGGGAGCAGACAGCCTCATTCTTCTGTTGTGGAGCAGCTGGTGGGTTTGAACTGTCTACTATGTGGTTAGCAGCTCAATGCCTCACCCACAGCACCATCAGGGCTCCTAAAAGAGAAGGCTAGCAGAGATAACTGACACTTTACGAACATTTTCAAATTCTTATTTTGAAAAAATTTTTCAAATTTAAGAAAGAAAACATAAAGAGCCACACTGATGAATCTCCAGTATGTCCTGGTGTGGTGCTGTAGGATAAAAGCACTGGACTGCAAGGTTGGTTTAAACTGCAAGGTGAGCAGTTCAAATCCACCAGCAGCCCCTCAGAACCCCTATACAGGGTCACTATGAGTCAGAACTGACTTGATGGCGTTTAACCAATAACAACACATAATGAATACAGCAATTGCTTTAAAATCATAACACTTTAAAGAAGGATTAAGAAGTAGAAATCAAAATAATGAGATCTCCCAAAGGCAGATAACATTAATCAATTACAATTTGTCTCTTGATTCCATTTCATCCATACAAGTAGAAATTTCTCCATAAGAAATTTTGAGAACTGATGACTGATTTAGGGCTCACAAATATTTTTAGTGTTTTTCCAACTTTCACAAAACTTACTGTGGCTTCTTAATAGGTTCTTGCTGATTGAATGATGAGGGATTTAATTTGGTGGGAAAGAATTTTAGTTCAGCTACAAAATCCCTGAGAAATGAGTATACTATTCAAAGTGGATTATGCCCCAATATATGCACCATGATTTCATAGAGAGGGACTAGCTACAGGTTTCCAAGTTTCTATCCTTTAAACCAGTGAAAGGAAGGAAATCCAGGCTCTTCAGCTTTGCTTCTGCATTATCAGTAAACTCCCTGGAGGCTTTCTGCAATGGAAGTCGGGGTGGGCCCATTGGAATTCCAGAGACAAGAGTCATGATGGCTTTGGTCTGTGACACTCCAAAACCTAGACGTGGAAAATAAATGCAAAAACGTCTGAAATCAGGCATATACTGTTGCTTGTGGAATGTATAGGATTTCATTTGAAATTCTAAAAAGCCCCTGCGAAATGCGCTATTTAAGGTGTTTTTTTTTTTGACTCAGTGCTGCTGTCTTAGTGCTGCTGTTACAAGGCTGGTGCAGGAGTGCAACATGAAGCCTTAGATTTATACAAGGTGGCAGCTGGAATGAAGCTCCCAGGAAACACTGGAACCAACCTTCTATGTAAAACAACGGATAAAACCTGAGCCTACTGGTCTAAGAATGGAAACGCAAAGAAATTTAACTTCTGCCAGAGCTGTGGGTGGAATAAGATCTTAGGAATGCAATTCTAAACCCATGCCACACTTAGATGCTGTATCCAAATTTGCATTTTGCATGTGGCATAGGAATCAGATGAAGAAACTAACCAGAAACAGGTTCAGACTAGTGGAGCTGAGTGTCCTAATACAGGCATTTGTACAGGTACTTGACTGGACATGTCACAACCTAGGGGACAATGGATTCCCTAGAAAATAGCAATCACTGAAGATAAGCTCAGAGCTAAAACAATGACAAAGTATACTAAGGAAAAAGAAGCAGCATGAGAAATGACAAAATTCACATCATGAGAACAGATGATAAAAAATTATGAAGAAGACTTCACAGACATAAAAGAAGAAATAAAAGCCATACCCTCAAAGAAGGGCAATACGAACAAAGCACAGGTCGCTTTGACAAAGAACCAAAAGGCTACAAAGGAAAAGTATGTATCTAGTCAGCAAAATTATACAGTAGAAAGCATAGCTGAAGAAAAAAGAATTAGTGACCTTGAAGGTACATCTATGGAAATAACCCAGAATGCAACAGAGAGAAAATGTGTGTCATAAAGAATCTGGCTGGTCTTTGTCCCTGGTTCCTATAAAACCTGCATGAAAAAAGAATTTGGCTTGTTCTGGTTCCTGAAGGGCGTAAACCAAATCCAAACCTATTGCTGTTGAGATAATTCGGACTCAAAAAGACCCTATGTTGTTGTTGTTAAGTGTCACTGAGTTGGTTCTGATTCATAGTGACCCTGTATAGTGTTTCCAAGGAGCAGATGGTGAGTTTGAACCACCAACCTTGTGGTTCAAACTGACCTTGCAGCCTAGTGCTTTATCCCACAGTACCACACCAAGACTCTGTACGTCCATAAAACTGCTCCATAGGGTTTCCAAGGCTATAAATTGTTACAGAAACAGACTCCCCATTTTTTTCTTGTGGAGTGGTTGGAGGACTTGAACTGTCAATCTTTACAGATAGCAACTGAGAACATACAGCTACCCGGGATCCTTACATTAAAGGTTTGTGGCTGAGTGCCTCCACATCTCCAGAAGTACGTCACCCTCCCAGTACATAAATACACGCAGAATGCAGTTAGTCCTAAATTTTTATTGAGCCTCCATTATGATTGAGTGATAACCATGTGATTAAACTCAATCTCCAATTTCCCACCCATGCTCCCTAGGAGTTCAGACTGATATCACCTGGCTTAAGGCACCGAACCTCTAATCACCTGGTTAGTTTTTCTAGCGTGGGTTCTTTGTCCTGAGTCATCTTTTTAGCATAAAGTAAAGTAGAAGCCACCATAGTTCATTTCATTAGCACAAACTCTCAGGTGTAGTCCCTGGAGCACAACATAAATAACAAAGACAATCCAATCTCTTGGGAAATTCCAAGAGTTTAGAAGTTACTAAGCCCTGATATGGCACTGTAGAAGTGTTGGACTGTTAATCACAAGGTCAGCAGTTCAAATCCACCAGCAACTCCTCAGAAACCCTATACAGGGTTGCTATGAGTCAGAACTGACTAGACAGCACTTAACAACAACAACATATGTTTAATAGGCTTTCAGAATGAGATATGTAAGTGTGTTAAAAAATAATGTGTTTAAAACAATATTCCCAGATAATAAAGAATTTTTTACAACTGAAGATATCGTCTTCAGAATAAAAAAGCAGAAGAAAAAGCTAATACACTATTACTATATAAAGAACAGGGGGCCCATGTATGCTATCACATAATTCACAATAAAACATTAAAAAAAAAAAAGAAGCTAATTAGTAGCAATTCTGCATGTAAATAAACCCAGGAGGAGGTTAATAGGAGTGAAAGAAATTAGGGAGAGCTGCAAGTTATCATACACAAATAGCTCTGTGTAAATAATACAGTTTCAAACATAGCCAATGGTAACACGAAAGAAAGTCTAGGCAACTAGCTTCCATAAAGATCACAGCCAAGTCAATTCTAGGAAGTTGCAACACTTTGGGGGTCATCATGAGAAAGAAATGAGTAGACAACGATGGATTTAGTGTTTGGTTTATAATTAACATCCCCTCAGAAACTAACATTTCAGTATTACTTGAAACTTTTAGTAATGGAGTTGATAAACATTCAACAGTATTCATTAAATAAGATAAAAAATTTGGCTACAGAATAATCCTATTCACTTTTAGGAAAACTGAGAGAACTCAGAACTAAATATTTATAGAACTCTCACTATAACAAGCAAATATTTAACAATAAATGAGTTTATTAATAAAGAACGTTTCATATACATTAATATTCACTGACAGATGGGAAACATTTGGATAAATGAAACGTTCCCAAACTTGACTTGCCCAAAATGTTCTTTGTCACACTAATTGCTTTACATTCAGCTGATGACAATAAGTAATACTCATCTTAATTTGTGTATTACTTTAATAGTTTTCTCATTCTCAACTATTTTATTCACTGCACTGCATTTCCTACTAAACTAGAAGAAATAATTAAACATTCACAGCAAAAACACTTACACTTGCTTCAGTGACTTACAATTACTGTGGTGCTTAGAGCTGACATGTGATGAGGTAAAAAAAAATTATGATCTAAATAGACACTTCAAGAAGTTTTATAGAAATCATGCGCATGCCTGCGAGCCTCATTTTATACAGCATTATGAAAGGGTTTCATTAGCTCATCACTCAGGGGTGCATTCATATCCAATTACTACCATTGGTTCTGTGATGCCAAACCAAAAACTGAAACAAGGCTAACATTTCCTCTGAGAAAGGGCAGTCCCTTCAAATGTAAAATGATGGCATTTGAGTCTTAAGTGTAAAAGATCAGTGTGCGTGTGTTTTAGTCTTATGAGACACTGGTTTTTCTTAGGGCCCTAGTGAATAATGTTCAGTGTGTGCTCTACAATAAAACTGTATCCTTATTTGAAAATTTAAACTTCTAGAACTTTCATTTTTGTCACAGTTGTTTTGAATTCCCCCTCAAAATAATAAGTCAATACTTTCTCTATGCATTGTATTAACCACAGAAGAATCAATAAAATTGTATCACAAAATTAAAAAAAAAAATACTATGGCCCTTCTTTCAAGATGGCAGACTAGGCACATGTACCACCTGGACCCTCTACAACGAAGATACGAGACACCAGATGAAACAGAAACAGATAAAAATCCAGGGAACCCTGAACTTCAGAGGAAAGGTTAGAGAAGTGGATTGAGTGTTTGCTGGAGTAGAAGCTGAGTAGGGAGGGGGAGAGAGGGAGGCAGACTGGTGAATGACCAGCTAGCCGTGGCACGACCATCTTGTGAGAAGCTTTAGCAACAGAGGGAGGCCTGGCAGAGCAGGCAATGGGAAAGGTGCGATTCCTTCTTTTCTCTAAGCTCTCCTGAAGACCAGAGGTGTGGTCAGCTCCCTTATTCATCCATCCTCAATGGAGACCCTGCTCACCAGAAGATCAGAGCCACAGGAAAGGGAGCCATGCCAGCGTAAGGTGGGGGCTGGCTGCACTGCTTTGGTGCCTGCATTTAGGCAAGCTCGGCTCTGGACCTACAAACCCCAAAGAACCACCAGACAAGCATTTAACCAGTTACCTTGCCACCAGCTGCTCTATGGTCCTAACAGACACAGAAACCAGCTCCATCAAGGACCTTTAAGAACTACTTCTGGATTTAGTGCCCTGAAGACAGATAACACCAAAGTCCAGGTAGGACTCCATCTAGGGCCAGGAACTCTACTGCCACATACCTTTGATACCCACCATGTGAGCTCTTTGGCTAGAAGGAGCCCCTGAAAGCAACAGCTACACTATTTGTTGGGTGTTTTGTGTTGTTTTTTTTTTTTTTTTTTTGGTTTTTCTCCTTTTTTTATTTGTGTTTGTTTATTCTTTCTCCTCCTTCTCTTTCTATTTGCTTGAATTTCATCCTTTCTGTCTCTGCTTTTGTTTTTCCTTCTTTTGTTTCTCATTTTCCCTCTTTCTTTACTACTCTGTCTCTTTATCTTTCCTCTTCCTGGTTGTTGTTTTTCCCTCTTCCTTTAATTTTCTCTCTTATTTTTCTCTTCTATAGCTCCAGTTTCATGTCCCTTTTGTCTCTTTTTAGCTATTTGCAAAAATCATATGGGGACCATGTCTGACTTCTGCTGGCTTCACAAACAGGAAAGAGAATCAAACTGAGAACCAGCCCAAAGTCTATTCTAAAAGTCAGACATTACGCCACCCTATAACCTTCTTTATAAGGAGCTCTGGTAGCGTAGTGGTTACGAATCGGGTTGCAAACCGCAAGGTCAGCAGTTCGAAACTACCAGCTGCTCCGCGGGAGAAAGATGAGGCGTTCTGCTCCTGTAAAGATTAACAACCTCGGAAACCCTGTACAGGGTCGCTATGAGTCGGAACCAACTCCACGGCACATAACAACAACAACAACATAACCTTCTTTATTCCGATACCAACCATCCCTCTCATAGCACTCTTCTGCTTCACATCTGGATTTGCCAATTCACTGCAATGGCCACAAGGAACTCATAACAATACTCATCATTATGTCCCCCCACTCCCACAATGATGACTTTTATTAGGGAAGTTAACAAGTTACAACTCGGGAGAGAAAATACTTGGATACAGTTCTTCCAGTCAGAAGTGCCTCTTCCCTGCCTTGCCTGCAGGCACACCTC